TTTGTCAATAAATTTAAGATTGTAAGAGGAACACCATGCTGCTTCTTATTACTGACTTTGGGTGTATAAAGACATTCGTATTAAAACACAGTAGCTGTATATATTGTGATACACTCTATAAAGACATTCGTATTAATACACAGTAGCTGTATATATTGTGATATACTCTATAAAGACATTCGTATTAAAACACAGTAGCTGTATATATTGTGATACACTCTATAAAGACATTCGTATTAAAACACAGTAGCTGTATATATTGTGATATACTCTATAAAGACATTCGTATTAAAACACAGTAGCTGTATATATTGTGATACACTCTATAAAGACATTCGTATTAATACACAGTAGCTGTATATATTGTGATACACTCTATAAAGAAATTCGTATTAATATAGCTGTATATATTGTGATACACTCTATAAAGAAATATTAATATAGCTGTATATATTGTGATACACTCTATAAAGAAATTCGTATTAATACACAGTAGCTGTATATATTGTGATACACTCTATAAAGACATTCGTATTAAAACACATTAGCTGTATATATTGTGATACACTCTATAAAGAAATTCGTATTAATATAGCTGTATATATTGTGATACACTCTATAAAGAAATTCGTATTAATACACAGTAGCTGTATATATTGTGATACACTCTATAAAGACATTCGTATTAAACACAGTAGATGTATATATTGTGATACACTATATAAAGACATTCGTATTAATACAAAGTAGATGAACATAGTGTGATACACTCTTTTAAGACATTCGTATTTATACACAGTAGCTGTATACATTGTGATACACTCTATAAAGAAATTCGTATAAAGACGAAGTATACCCTATTTCCTGACACACTTATCATATACTTGTTCTCTGAATACAAATTCTTACAGTTACCTGTATATGAAATGCGTATGTTATTTTAAGCTATATGTATGTATGTATGTATGTATGTATGTGTATGTATGTATGTATGTATGTATGTATGTATGTATGTATGTATGCGTGTGTCTGTGGTGTGTGTACTAATGTACATGTGTCGATATGTGGTTGATAAAATCATGTACATGTATTTTATTCGGCTCATTGTTTATTAAATACAAAACGAAAAATGCTACTTGACAAATTTCAAGTGTAATTGATTCATGCTGTCAGATTTCGACGTACAACGCTTAAAAATGTTTCACTGAAATAGTTACAGTTCTTGTGCTGTACGAACGGCGTTATCAGACATCTTTACAAACACAAATACATATACATCATTAATCAGTAAACGTTAACCAATTGGTTGTGTTTTAAATTTTACAATCACATGACGGTGAGAATCGCACACAATATTTTGAATCAGAGCTAAAAATAGCTTCACTTGGTATAGTCTGTTTCAGAAAATTGCCTGTATTTACCTGTCGTTACAAACTTTATTCAGAACGTAATTAAATCTGAGATAAAAACAAGTCTAGGCGCTTTTTTGTATCATGTGCATATCCTTTTAAACGTCTTTACTGTTCATAAATAAATTCGTACATTATGATAAAAACTTCAGTTTTGAAATAAGCTTATTTGAAAAAGGTATACGATGTACCCCAGTCAGGTGAGCTCAACCCGGTACTGTGACGTCACAAAACTCACATGACCGACCTTATTTTTACTTGTATATAGCTGTATAAACAAATAGCAATTTTTAAATTTATGTGCTGACTTTGTACGGAAATAGAGGTAAGTTTTACATGTCTCTAAGTAGTGTTATATCATTAGTATATGTATAACGTTTATATGTCACGGGTATATTTCGCACATATGATCAGGTATACACAGGTATTGCACTTTGCATGTTTATATAGTAGGTGTTGTATGGGATAACAGTGTTGTATCAAATAATAATGTATGTTGTTATCGAAATTCTGAAACCGTGTTCGCGTAATGGTATATTACAATAAGCAATTTCATGAATATATAATGTATTGTACATAATTGTGTACCTATAAATGTTTACCTGAAGTTTCCTGTTATTTCTGTGACTAGAGTCAATATTTTTGTACGACACCAAATGAATTATACTTACTATAAAAAAAATCGCCACAAAGCGGAAGTTTTTATTTTTCTTTAATCTTTTCCGCAAGCATTACCGAAAACGCTAACTTTGTCATAAACCTAGTTATCTTCACGCGATAATCTGTTTGATGACTGTCTCCATTTTTGTATTTGTTTGTTTGTCTGGTTTATTGCGCCTCTGGTGGTCTCCTTGTAGTAGTTTGTGTCTACCCCACTGGACAGAATGCGGGAGGTCCGCAATATGTTATCTAAAGCGAGTTGGGGAAAAAACCAGCACGACACACTACGTAATCGCAGCTCCACGAAAACATGTACATGTCACGAACTGAAAACCTCAAAACGTAGACTAAAACTGGTCAATGATCTAATCGAACCGAAAACCTCGAATCGCAGACTAAAAGTGGCCAATGCTCTATCGACCATGCTATCGCACCCCCAGTGTTTTTTCATCACCAAATAAGGACATTATAAACATTAGTAGCACATACTTAGCATTCACCTCCCAGCAAAATCAAGATTTATCGGTCAACGTGTCTAAGCTTGTCCCTCTAGCGACAAGACAGATTTAAAACGGATTGCAAACAACCGCTTTCTCTTTAAGTGATATCCCTTAAGGAAGAGTTCTAAAGTACTTGTGGATTATAGATATATCACAATATCTTAAACTTAAATGTATCATTACATGTTACATATACACCGGTATGTATAAAGTTGATCATACAGTTGCAATTAAAAATTGTTTTCGGACCAAACGCATGGAACTCTGTGCTTCATGCCTTTTTTTTCTACCCTCCCCCCTCCCCACTTCTTCCCGGAAGGTAATTGCATGGACCTCAAATATTGGTTGTAGGTTGGTATATAAATATACCATTAAATTTGTTTGAATAACACGCAGTAGTATAATATAGGGATATTTTTCCCAATAACTGATTAAAATTACTTGTCAAACGTTTAAGTAACGCCCACCAGACAATGAAATCTGTTTGGCAGATAACATACAAATGTTTCTGATCAACTGGTGTAGACGATAATTCCATCTCCTTAAAAATATCTACAAACATAGCTCGACCTTTAGGTAAATAAATGATAACTTATATGTACAAAGGTGAATTAGTTCGCCTGGCCTGTCTCAGCTATCCGCCAATCCCCCATTCCAAACACCATCATAAAAGGGGATTATCAAGTGAAAAATCGTCTATCAAAAATGGCGGTCACAGCTGTAGGCTCTTTTCGACGTGACTCCGTTCGGAACATCTCGGCTATTTCTAGTCTTTTTAATATCTGAAAGATTCCGCGTATATGTTCCGAATGAGATATATAAATTTAAAATAAACGTGACGAATATACTGGACAACAGTTATAGCAAGTCAAAGAGGTGTAATGCGTGTATAAAACGTCAAAACTTGGATATGATTTGATATAGTGTCAAGAACGTGTATTTTAATGGTTCTATTGAAACACCGAGCGGCTTTTGCCGCAATTCCGAGGAACAAATCTTCCAGAAAACGTAAAATTCATCGGCCTGTCCGAATGAGGGAACTCTCTAGTGACGGTGCATCTTATGGAGGAATTTTACACCACAAAATAACCAGAAAAAGAGCATACCCTCTTACACCCACAAGAACGCTTCTGTCACGTGATCAGTATATAAATGGACACGAGGATGTTATCTGCAATAATAAACCACTCGACCTTTCCCGCGAAATTGTAGGCGGAGAAGGTTGTGTGAAAAAAAGTGATGGTTTATATGTCCACTGTGGAAATGGACATCAGAACGTATGTACAAAGAAATCCCACAGCGCGAGACGGAAAAGGCGTACCTCTTCTTTTGATTTCAGGGCTTCTCCTAAAATTGGAAGGAGAAATAGACGACATAGTAGTAGTGAATTATACTGCATTGATAATTGTTTTAAGCTTCCACACCTTCCTAAGTTTCCACGCCGGTCAAGGTACTACAATATATTTAGCTTAGGGATACTATTTTTATGTATTTTACATCTAGTGACTTGTTTGAAATTGTTTTGATTCACGAAAGCAAAAAATGCGTGGTACAATAATATTGTTTGTCAAGATACGTTGTACAATATGTTCCCGATCGTTACTTTCTTTTTTAAGAAATGGAGATCTAACGATTTTTTTTAGCATAACATGATTCTAAGTACAAAGAGGTCATCAATGTGTTATGTAATTTAATGAAAATCAATATGTTAGCGGTTTATGCAACAATGGAAGACAATAGAAAAGTCATGCTACTCAGGTGATGTCTAGTGCAAACGATCGATAAGAAACATTACGCAGTCAATGACTGATCACTTTTACAAATAAGACATGTGATCACTTAGACACTTTACTTAGACAATTCGTTTTACAAATAAGACATGTGATCCCTTAGACACTTTACTTAGACAATTAGTTTTACAAATAAGACATGTGATCCCTTAGACACTTTACTTAGACAATTAGTTTTACAAATAAGTCATGTGATCACTTAGACAATTAGTTTTAAAAATGACGAATAAGACAGGTCATCACTAAGACGTCTTACTTAGATAATAAGTTTTACAAATAAGACATGTGATCCCTTAGACACTTTACTTAGACAATTCGTTTTACAAATAAGACATGTGATCACTAAAACACCTTACTGACACAATGTATTATTCAAACACGCGTTATATATTCTGACGATAGAACTTTAAGTTATTTTGAAAGATTTTCATGAAGACAGATTGTTTCTAAGACAAATCATCAAGGCAGGAAGTATCTGATGCAGGTTAGCACTAAATTACAAGAATGTGTTTATACGTACGGTCGATAAGACACATGATTATTTATGATAGTTTGGCAGTTGTCTTTAAGCATACACCATGATCGGAATTTGAAGGTCATTTCTATGTATTTCTTATTCCTATTTCAGACCAGCCGAACCAATGAAACGCGCCGAAGCTGGTGCTACTCCGGGACAAGTCCCATCCTATGGATCAGGGTTTCAAACTCCCAGCTATATGCACAATCCATTACGATCCTACCAACAGAAGTCCGTCGTTGAGGCTTACGTCCTTCATTTCACCTTAGGATTATTGGGCGCCCATCATTTTTACCTAAACAGACCCGGATGGGGAATCCTTTATTTCTTTACCTTTGGATTATTAGGGGCTGGTTACGTAATAGATTTGTTCCGTATACCATCTCTAGTGAAGAACGCCAACGAACGAATTCAGGACCCAAGTAAGGACGGAAGACTTCGTGTCGATGATGCCTATGTCCTCTGGTTTCCCTTTGGACTTCTAGGTAAGTATCCATGACAACGTTTATGGGTATATATAACACGGGGGCTTGCTGTAAGTTTGCATGTGGCCCCTTCGTGAAATACGACCAATCCCTTTCTCTTTCAGTATCCATTGGTTAACCAATTAGTTTTGTTTAAGAAAAAAATCAGGAAAGTTCAAGAAAATTCATACTACAAGATTTTTTTTTTCAGTTTTTGATTTCTTTGTCAAAATATCTCTTTTTGTTAGTTTATTTTAGAAATCCTGCTTTATGTATTTTTGAAAATTTAATTTCCTTTATTGAATTCGTATTATCTATTCATTTTCTTCTCTTTATAAAGGATTTCATCATTTCTACCTGAGGAACTATTCACTCGGAATATTTTACTTTTTTTCGCTGGGTATATTTGGAATTGGCTGGATCATCGATATTTGTTTAATACCAAAGTATGTTAAGGAAGGCAACGCCACTACATTTGACCATGGGGAAAGGTCAACTTGTAAGGCAATGATTTTCGCTATTTCTCCTCTTGGAGTCTTCGGGGTTCAACATTTCTACTTAAAACGATATCTTTTCGGATTTTGTTATTTCTTTACCTTTGGTCTTTTGGGAATTGGTTATATCGTCGACTGGTTCCGAATGCCAACTCTCGTGAAACGTTACAACGAGAAACGGAAGTCAACCGACATCAGAGCAAAACGTTATGTTGACGATGCATATCTTCTATGGTTTCCGTTTGGTATTCTCGGATTTCATCATTTCTACTTAAACCGTCCAGTATGGGGATTTCTTTATCTTTTTACCTTCGGACTCCTCGGCATTGGTTGGGTCATAGACATGTGCAGAATCCCAGGTCTTGTGAAGGATTTCAACAAGATCAGCGAGGAACGTCAAAGTATCAGAACGATTCACGGGCCGCATGGGGCGCCAATTCTAATAGGAGCTGGCCAACAAGGCCCGTATGTCGAGACTAATGTGGGTAAGTCTGATTTTCATTACAAATAATTTTTAAGCACAGTATTATATAAACTACCTCATTTGCTTCATTATACCACTACAGACAACTTTGTCTCTTGAAATTCATAAGAATCGTCAGCTCTACTTTTGTTGTTGTTTTGTGTGTGTTTTTCTTACTTTCGTTCTTTCTTTTATTGTTTTGTGTTTGTTTGTTTTTCGTTTAGTTTAGTTTTGTTTGTTTGTTTGTTTGTTATTTGTTTGGTTTTTTTTTTGGGTGGGGGGTCCGAAATGTAGATGTACACACGTTCGACCGATATTCTATCGTATATATATATTTTAAAATCACAAACTTGTTATATTTTCTCTTTATTCTGAAATCAATTTTGATCTCGACGTAATAATTAGTTTTATTGTCAAAAAATGAATTTGCATGAAATACATTCATTGTACAAGTGTGTTTCGAATTATTGAGAGTTTAAAGGAAGAATATTCTAGAAGTCTAAAAGAGTATGTGTATCCTATATCCTATATATGCAAAAGTGTCTTTGTTACGTGTCTAATAAAATTGTATTATTCTCTTGTCAGGACCAACCACAGTGAGACTTAATCTTGAGGATCCTACAGCAGCGCCCTCTGGTGGAGCAGTTGCGTCCCCTGGATACTACGCTGCAGGCGGCTACCAGAGCGCTGCAACATACTCCGCACAACAGGGATACCCTCCACAGCAAGGATATCCCTCGCAACAAGGGTATTCCCAACAGCAGGGATATCCCCAACAGCAAGGGTATCCCCAGCAACAAGGGTATCCCCAGCAACAAGGGTATCCCCAGCAACAAGGGTATCCTCAGCAACAAGGATTTCATCAGCAGCCAGTATACACGCCATCACAACAGCCACGAATTTCAACAGGTACATTCTTATATGTCAAGATTTTTCTTCTAGTTTTTGATACACGTGTTTCATGTCTTTAAAACATCGTCATTAGAAAGCGAAACCAAATATATACAAAACCATCGTTATAAATTGGTAGGCATAAGTATTTCAACCTTACCAATTCGAATCACAACTTGTGCAGTGGTGTTGTTTTTGACAAGTCCGAAAACCCGTTAATGAAATATTCGTTTCTGTCCTTTCATGAAAAAATCTAATGGTTATTTTCCTGTTCATGTCTTCATTTAATTTGCTTTCAGCTCTTACAGTATTTTCCCATCGTCATACTAAATGATGATGACCGTTTTTTATTTTATATGGATATCTGTAAATTTATGTTTATCTTTATGTTATTTCTTTTCAGATTATGGTGCTCCCTTGGAAAACCCTCCTCCATACACTGAGACCAATAGTGAAGCTCCACCATTGCCGAAAAAGGATTGAAGAACTTGACATGAAGCTTGTTTTAGACATGCTCTACCAAGAGTTATCGTTCTTCTTTTGGTGATATCAATATTTTCATCCACGACCTAGGTTCTCAACTTCACAAAGATCATCTGACTGTGATATTTAAACGTTGTGTAATTTCCTAATTTACGTCTATATATATATATATAGAGAGAGAGAGAGAGAGAGAGAGAAACAAGGTTGAGTTATTAAACTACGTTTTATAATATCGTGAATTTTTTTGACATGTCTGTTATGTAATTTCCAGTGTGAAATATACATATAAGTTTGACAAATCTTGACACCAATAAGAAAGAGATAGCTATGTATTCATAAGTACCTACGAATTAATATAATACCAATAATATCATATATTTTATACCGCTTTCGTTTCTTGTGTTTGTCAGAGAAAGAATTCCATATGTAGTGATGAAAAAGTAGTTCACTATGTGAGTTTAGCTTTCGCCTTTTATATGCAGCGCTTTGGTTCGCCTTCCCGCACGTGTAGAACTGCTCGACCACGTCGGTTCTCTCTGGGTGTTTTCTACCTCATTAAGCCCCCTCCGAGTCTTCTTCACCTGGTGAACATCAATTCATTATCGCTGGATTAATTAAGTGAATAATAATTTTAAAAAGATGGTCAAGAACAGTTATCGTTAATAAGGTGATGTTTGAATAATGACTTAAACACCTCTATAAATGTCCCTTGCGTACATAAATACACGGTGCGTCCTAATAACGGTAGATTAAACATTGTATGACATTCTTACGATGTAACCTTACCAAAGTCAGTTGTGTATTATCAACTCATGAACTGCCAACGGCATAGTTATACCGTAAGTAATGTAAAAGTTTGAGGTTTCCTTCTCTTTTAAGACGAAAATTGTACGTGATAAATATAAGCACTGAACTGCTTTTAGTTTGCATTCACGGGTATATGACTGCCAACTGAAAACAGTTTGATATTTAAATATCTTGAAAGATGGTAGTATGACAACTGACGATCTTAACTGTTAAATCTTTGAAAATGAGTATACTATGTCTGAAAAAAGCACCAGTGATTCAGACAGAAGCTGAAAAAATTAAGTAATATGAAACACGCCAAGAAAACAATGAATTGATCATCTTTGTTCACTGTATTATTTTGATTGTACAAAAGACACCCAAGTATAAGGCACCTCTTCATGCAAATTTAGAGTTAGATATAGCAGAGCCAAACAATGAATTAAAATACATCATACAGCTGTTGCTAAGGGTCTGAAGTGAGCCTTGGAGGCGACTGATGAAGATCCATAGTGATCAAAAGGAAAGCGGAATTATGTACTGGGACGTGACTATATTATGTAATAACTATATGTGTGATTGTTGTAGCTGTAATATGTATATTTTTGTTATTATCAAAAATTAAAGTTTAAAGTTCGAAATGTTTCGCTTTTCTTGTTTATTTGTTTATTTTTAAGATACGACAAAATATATAAGATTTAATCTATTCGTGATAATAATTAAAATCAATAAATATGTTTTATTCTATAATAGATTTCTATCTCTCTGATGTTTTGTTTACTTTAAGTCAATTAAGGATTGAAGATAATTGTGATATATACACATGTAACAAAGTATCCATTATCTTCTGTGACAAGGGAACTGTCTACTATTCTTGACCACATCACAATTTTTCAAATCTACATATTTTCAGTACTCTAAAAAACATTATAGTTAAAATGTGAACAAAATAGAGATATGTCTTTACTTCGCATGATATAAAAACATCTTCGTTTGTTATAGAAAAGCTATAAATATATATATATATATGATATATATATAAATGTGGAACTATTAAATGAATTCGAAAATAAACGGTCAGAATCTCCACTATATAACTACGGGCGGAGTTAGGCATACCACGACCTACATATCACGTCGTCCCCAGACTTATCTCTGAGTGTCCTGTAGTTCACGTCACTTCCTTAGGATGAAATAGATCTTAAATGTTATCTGATTCTGTTTATGTTAAAAAGTCTCAAAATTAAAGAAAATATCGTCTAGTACAAATATTATAGATATAAAATACAATACTGACGTCATAGCTAGGATAACGTGACGTAGATTGATTAGGAAGACAGAGCAAAGCGTTGTTAAAACAAATCCTTCCCCAGTAACGCTTGATAAGCATTTATCTTAAGAGATCCATCACGAAAATTGGGTCATTAATTCTGTTTAATAATAATAAGCAAATTTGTTGAAGACGAATAATACTTTACAGAACGAAAGATTTTGAATTTGTGATACATGGCGCCATAACAGCATAATTGATACAGTATCTTCAGTTACATCAATAAGCCAAATGTTTCATTTAGGGACTGGTTAATGTCCTAAAAGTATTTTCATGGAAAAAATGCTAAGTTACTCCATTGAAGTAAGCTGGGAATTCCCATTCTCTTCTGTTCCTATTTCCTGACCTTTGGTATTGGGGTCAAAACACAGTACATATTCATGTATTACACAAACACGTAAAATGAATTATTTATCACTGCTTGCTATCGGTAATGCATACGTGGATCAAAGGTGATGTTTATTTAACAGAATCATGTGATCTAGATGGTAAACGTCATTTCGTCTGTACATATTGTTGTTTTTCATGCATTGTTTTCAGAGTATGGCAGTGCAATGAGTCAACAAATCAGAGCGCAATGTATATCATTGATAAAATGATCAATTATCTATATGTACATTTCATTGATCCATTTGTTTGTGTTATCATCCATGACACCGTGTCTGTTAACTAGTTCAATGTAATGTACACGAATATGCTTTGTGTCGCTCTCCTAATTTTGAAGAAGAAGCAATCAAACAGCTGTAGCTTACTGATAAAGACAAATTAAGTTACATAGAAAGAGAAGTGGTACTATGAAATTATTTATATTTGTGGGGGATTTATCATCGCTGATTTCGCGAGCACCCACGAATTTATATGTCAACGTACTGTTGATATTAGTATAAGTACATTTCTTGAGCTATATTTACCCACGAAATCAAATGTTCACGAGATAGAGGGGTTTTTTTTCAACTACGAAAATTGAGTCCAAAGAAAATATAAAATTTCACAGTGATATTCAAAGGCCTTGTTGATATACAAGTTTTTTTTTCTTGAAAAAATTATCAATTTACTTTATATTTCACATAAATATGTTTTTTTATGAACAGAACAGGTGATCGGCAATATTTCATTCTACCTCTAAAAATATTTCGTCATTTTCCCCATGAAAGCATTTGCAAGCATGCTATACATGCCAACCCAAGGCCGTATTGTGTAGCCTATCTAGTGTGTGGACCAGATGGGCCTAATACATCATCTGCTCAGCATTTTATTCGTGTTACATGACAGATGTGCATAACGTGAAAGTAATGATATAAACATTTAGAAAGAATATGTGTACATATACCTCAATGGTCACACACCTCTTACATATCATACACAATCAGATTAATGTAGATGATTTATCGCCTCTGTAAAACCTACCAGCCTTCGTTACACATGACCCATACTGACCCCGCCTTAACGAGCTTGTGAAAAACATGTTTAATACAATAACGATGTAAAGATAAAAGATCATCTATTTCTAAAATCAATGCTGTTTGGCCTTACGTCTTGATACCGTTATTTTTCTTCAAACAATTCTGTCTCCTTTGTTGATTAGTGATTAGTAATGTTTTCTCACCTAGAGCGAAACACTACTAGTGAAGACATAGCTCTCCTTCATAGAACATAAGGGACATGAATATGTTATTTTAAAATCACTATTGGTCGTTGTAAAGTCATGAACACTTCGTGTTTCCGTGCAAAGGTAAACATACATGTACAACCACATAACAATTTGTCGGCTAAAGGCATGTACTGTTATTTGTGTATGTAATTTATATGTGGAGTATATTATTTTGTAGCCTTTAAACCCACTGTCTGGTATCTTATACACATCATCTTCATCTACAATCTACTTTCTTTCATTTCTAACGATTGTTTAAAATATTATAAAGTTTACACATATAGTAGATTTGAATGACTTCTATTTACCTGGACACTCGACAAAACTGACATCATAAAACGATTCCGAAAAGTTAGGGACATACAACCAAACAACTTAAATGCTGATAACGTCATTTGTCAACGTCAGAGCACTGTAGATTTGAAGGAGTAAGTCATTGTTATTTTCGTTTATGTGACAGAAGAGTTACAACAACAAATATGAAAAAACACAAAAACACAAACAAACTCACAAACAAACAAAAATGATAAAACAAATAACTGTTTCTTCACTCTCTAATCATTGTGTATCCCGAATAGTATGCACTTTTACGGACTTGCTGTTGAATATATTTTCCTCTGCTTTTGGAGGAGGTTGCTCTTATATATGACCTGTACGTAATTAACACTACCTTATTCTGATAAAGTATTTCGGGGGTCATTCAGGCCTTTGTACATACTTGTGCTATGCATGAAATAAATATGTTTTTTAATGAATGATTGAAATAATATATATATAGGTATATTATGAAAATTATTGATTGTAATGATATCATTGTTATTTTATCAGATCTATTTTGTTATTAATCTATTTCTGTTACCTTATTTGTAACTTAGTCTTTTATAACGTAATACAGATTGAACATATCAATTCACTGTTCTTGATTGCTTCTTGTGATCATGCATACATTGCACACATTTACGAAAGTGACGAACTCAATTATAACATCCACAAACAACGACCGACACCTGGGAAGAATTACCAGACAAAAACGTGCCAACCATGTGTAACCCAAATGTCCACTTTACTTTATTGTGTATGAGCATCGTAGGAAAAAATACATTTTGAAGAATATATATGGGACACACAAAAATAAGTAATGTGCGCTAATAGACAACCTGTTGATCAAACTTGGAAAAGCATCGTAAACAGATTTTTAAAAATTAAAATATTGACATTTTATAATGGCGACGAAATATACAACAAAATAAAATACAGTAGAGTAATTCATGACGGAGTGGTTCCATACTGAGGATAACCAATGTTTAAAAGCGCACGAAGCAAAGTAAATAATGGCTTACTTCAAAATAGACTCTCTGTAGCAGTATTTTTGATATCTCTTAGGATTCACTTAAATACTGAATCACAAATCTATTTTGATGAAGTGTTCCATCGAATTCAGTCTTTCACAGTGCATAACGTTGGCAAAATCTACATATAGATATAATAGATTTGCGCTGATATTTACTTTCTATATAAATAATCTTATTGCTTAATTGACGTTGTCTGTTCTGTGTTCAAACAAAGTTGCAATATCAGAGCATTAAGAGACCAAACCAATAGTAGCTTTGCTCAAGTCAGTGACTGTTGATATGAAAAGTAATTAAATCTACTCTCTATCTTTCATGGATTTGGCTTGGCTTCCTACAAACATAAGGTAAGTAGATAAATGTATAATTCTATTGATTTTACCTTTAAATTACCATACAATGAAATAATATTACAATATATGCTAATTAGGTACTTGTGAGACGAAGACTTATTTTTCGTCTTCGCAACAACGTATGTACACACACATATATACATGTATATGTATTAAGTATGATAGCTTACAGTCAGTTTCGGAATTCTTTTGATTATTGTATCAGAAATATGAGTGAAAACCGACGGCTTCCGAAACATAGACAAATTACACCTGTCTCAAGGAGCAAACAACACAAGTCTATGTCATGATTTTATGTATATTACTCCAGTGTGACTATGTAGCACAGAAGTAGTTCAACATCCCCTAGAGTGTAGAATATAAGGGAGAATACTACAGACATTCGTATATTTTAACAAAAGTATTGTTAGCATAGTAAAACTATGATGAAAATACCACTTAACAAATAAATCAAAACGTTTATTAATTGAAAGCAAATGACCTAGTCTGTCGATTCTGACTGTTTACCTTTTTGCATAAATGTAAAACATGTTGTCAATTTATTATAACATTAGAAATACAAAAATCTTTTGTGTGATGCACTGGAAGACAATGATTATGCATTTAGATGTATACATTACTTAAAATGTTGACCGTACCATACAGACACTGGCTACTTCGAGAGGAGGACAGTGACTGTAAACAATAGTTACTGCTGTCCTGTAAATCAACCATCACATCTCCGGTTCTTATCTGTCAAGGTGTGCGCCGAGGAGCAAGTTATCATCAGAGAGGCACTTCTCGTCTCCGTAACAAGCACTCACAGTACTGTAATTATACAGTATTACTGAAGGGCTAAGTGGGGAGGTTATCCTACTTTAATCCAGTCGTCTCCATGGAGTGGGCTTCAGTCGATAGCCATTGAGTGGACAAGGGCTACCTCCGCTAACATATGGGAGAATTAATGTATACAACTGTTATTTATATCAGAAAATGGACAGACCATAGCGATTAGTAATGTAAACAGATATTGTTCTCATCTCTCGTCTAGTTTGTGTGGACACCTACCTCACTCTACCAGATTTCTGGATTTATCCTGTCTGGCAGGAGTATTCGACAAGGCAAAAATATTAATATTCATTAAGTGGTTTTGAAGATATTGAATTTCATTTCATACTACGATTGTCTACCTCTTTTGAAATTATCTTACCTTTCACGATTGAATTTTACAAAAACGCATGGGGATGCAAAAGTTTCGAGCAATGGACGATGGAGAGGATGAGGGAACAAGCAAAGTCAGTGTTAATAAGCGTCTTCTATACTTTTTGTTAGGTTTATTGATAGTGGTGCCAATTACTGTTGGGGTACTTGTGTGGTACCTAGCACCACCGAGGTCATGTGACAATTTACCTAATGTAGAAGGAGACAGTGCTGCAAACACAGAGCCAGAAGTCACTTCCGCCATCACAACCACGAAAGTGCCAAACTTTGAAAGTGAACCGTGGAAAAATCTTCGCCTCCCTCGGTATATAATACCCGTGCACTATGAAATAACATTATATCCTGATATTTACGACGGGAATGGATGGTTTTACGGAAACGAATCGATTGAAATCCGGATCACTAAAGATACATCGTATATATTGATTCATTTTAATTACATGAACATCACCAAGACAAATCTGAAGGACAATTCCACTGGAGCTACCATACCAATAAAACGAACATTTTCGTACGAAGAAAACCAGTTCTGGGTAATCGAAACGGTATCACCTGTGCTGAGTGGTGCTGTAGTTCGTTTGGAGACTCAGTATGACGGCTCTCTCACCCGGTCCATCGTGGGATTATACAAGAGTCGATATGTGAATTCAATCACTGGAGAAACTAGGTAAGAAAAACATTGAAATACATGGAAATTGTCTAAGATTTGAATTACTTAATTACTTAATAAGTTCATTTACAACTTAACTGGAATAAAATATTGATGTTGGGGCCTACATGTGCTGAAGCAAATCCCAAACTGACTAGTTTAGCATTCTTTCTGTAAATTTGGGATTCCTGGTTTCTCTTGTTTTAACCGCATTTCATTTGCTGTTCATGTGTCCGCTGACTTTAAGAAGGACCGTATTGATCACACACGAGAGAACAACACATTTTAGTACGACAAAGATTATACAAAAGACACACAAGTGAATAGCACCTTTTAATGATTTAGTGTTAGATTCAGTGGAGCCAAACAATGAAAATAAGTTAAAGTGCAGCCGGATATGAATTAAACCGCATCATTGAGCTATTTCGTAATCCATGTGCACTAGCAGCTACTTAAACATATGTAGCCGTCAGGGCTGATCACCTTTGACATTAATAAAAACCATTATTTTGAATTTAAAAAACCGTTCAGTAAGTCAACAACACATTACTCCGCCGACGGGGTTTTCTCATTTATCTTGTCAGTTTTGAAAACCGCATTGACATCAGTGATATCATATTGTGACGTAAACACATAAATTCTCAATAAAGCAAAGTTACATTCCATGAAAGTTGAATGCACCTACAGACTTTGATGCATCGTGAAATATATGGAAGAACATTATGAATCCGTCTAGTTTGATTAAACGTATTTGATCTAGCATTTGCTTTCTACATATGTTATGTGTTTTTTGTACAATCTTTGAGATAGTAGGTGGTAGACACTGCTGGTGACTTTAAAGTCCCCGAGGTTTGCCGTAACCCCAAGTTTTAATTCATTCAAATGGTGGCACGGTTCAGAATATACACATGTACTTGATGTTGTTCTAAAATTATATGAGATATGAAAATTACGAAATCTATTTAATTCTGGTGATGGATTATGGATTATGACTTCAAAAATTAGGCCCTTAGCATCACTGACGAGTCCTAGAAGGTAGAAACAAGTGTATGATGTAACATCACTGACGAGTCCTAGAAGGTAGAAACAGCTGTATGATGTAACATCACTGACGAGTCCTAGAAGGTAGAAACAAGTGTATGCTGCAGTGTGATTCATTGTTTGACTTTACTATTTCTAATTCTGAAATATCAAACGGTGCTATTCATTTGTGTGTCTTTTGTACAACTTTTGATATGTTTATAGGATATAAATAACTAGTCTTGCACGATCTATGGAGTCAAGATATCAATCAAAGAAAAAAACAATTAGAAATTTAAATCCTGAGATGAATGAGCTAACAAGCCGTGGAATAATAACAAAAGTATTTATATCCAGACAGAGGACGTCAGTGCATCTGCATGAACAAACATTCTTGATTAAACTGTAAACTCGTTAGAGCATCATTGTGAACATCACATTTGACTGCAATATGGGTATAATTATTTTGTAGTTTCATCATACTTTAAAACTAAATATATGTTAATATTCACGAGTCGCTTGTCTAGTACAATATGAGAAAAATAATCAGACACATGATGTGCATTTAAATGTAAAGCATTTACACTTAAATGCACATCGTGTTTTTGATTATTATTCTCATATATTGAACCGGACACTGAACTGTAGTTTTTTCATTATATTTATATATATATGTACAATGTATGTGATATCTTTAGGGGTGTTTTAAACATCCCTACTAACATGATAAAAAATGTAACATACAACTTACAGTTAGTCCTTAATCTGGTCTCCATTTTGTATGTTCCAGTATATTTATTTAATTTTGACGTCTCTCGATCTTGTTCCCGTGTTCATGAATTTATGAAATGTTTAATAATTTCCATCAGATATCGGTGAAATTTTATGTATTGATTTATTTTTCAAGATTCTAGATTTTGTTTTCAATTTTTTTTTCTCTCTAATTGGCGATAACTCCATTGAATATCACGTGACAATTTATAAAATTATACTACTAACACTAGTCTAATTTGTGTGTTTAATATTTTCTTTATCATACTTTTTACAATTTATTCAAAGCGAGGGAAAATGATAGTTGTTACATAATAAAAAATGTAATATAATTTCGTTTTAGTATGAGTTTGTAAAGCATGAAAGCGCGCATTGACCAAACGGAATATCAAACGGCGAAGAACGCATTAATAATTGTGCTGATGACGTTTTTCATGGATGATGAGGATACTTTTGTGTACCATTGTTACAGTTCATTTATACGTGTACATACTATAACGGATATACATTAAAAATATTCCGGGAGCAAAATTAATTAAAAATTAGAACTGGCAAAAGACAAAGACGTGGAATATTATATGATGTTAATGCTTGTGTTTACACTTAACAACATTTCAACCTTGACCTCCAAGTTTGTATAACAATACCACCAGAATAAATGAGAACGTTTGTATTAATAACTTCTGTCTGTTCTATGTAAATACAGCTTGATAGATGTAACTATTTTCTATGTGTATATATACAAGTAGTATAAATGTTTATTACGAAATGTCGTGGCAGAGAGGCGTAGTATAAATAAAATAGTATGAATCTGAATAATATCGTTTATATTTTGATATTACAGAATTAGTTATTAATAGGTCACCAACTATAAACAATTACACCTCTCCTTATAAACCATTGTCATTATGGTCGTTCAGACACGCCCCATTCTACATCAGATATAAACCGGAAGTTGTCTAAGTGTTTTAGACAGACACACAAATTATACAAATAGAGAGAGTGGAAATATTGAACTACTTATACTTCAAAAAAGGAAAATGATAGCCGTGCCATTTTTTTTTTCGGTTAAATCTCGAAAAAAAGACGCAGCTTATTTTCTTTAATAGTAAGCTAATGTAGGTTTTAGTAAAGAACAACTACAGGTTTATTTTCAGGATAGGCTTATTTTTAATTTTGAGGGTAGTTGTATACTTATCGTCATTTTGAAAAAGTGAATTCTGTATTTTTTTTTAACGCAGAGTTATCTGCTCTTGCGTACAGGAAGTGACTGTTACGTCATTATTTTGCATGAGAAAGTTACTTCGTTTTCTCACGACGTTACTCTCACAAATAAATGACGTATCAATCTGAAAAGGGCAGATAAATGTACATGAGTGCATATCACAAGTTCTGCAAGAATGGATCTCTTGATGAATATTACTAAGAATAAATCACATGATTGAGGTCTTGATTTAATTTGGTTTCTCACTGTTATTTTTACTAAAATAAAGAAATTTTCATTTTCAGGCAGTGGAAGGTTAAAAATTGTAGCAGTCTACTAAATCTGTGCTGCTAAAAATACAATAATGCCATATTTTGATTTATTCAATAATTATTATATCGTCTTTTTCTTTATCAATTTCTATACTGGTAGTTTTATAGAGTCTAATCTGAGTAGAATGTGATATATTATAAATTGTTGCATGGCATTTTTTTGTTATCCAATCAAGTTTTCAGTTTTTATGACACACAGACACGTTTTATCTTAAGTAATCAGAGTTCACAGTTAATATTAGCTAAAAGGGTAGGATTTTGATGTGTTCTACCTTTCAGATATTTTTATTGAAAAATGTGGTTATCAGATATTTTGGAGCTAGTGTACTTCCCCGGCTAGGTTCTGATATTTCTTTAGATCGGTACAAAGACTCCTAGCTTCCATTTTCGACATGTCTTGTGTTTTAATGACACGTTGGTCAATACTATCCGACAGATACCTTGCAACATCCAAATTTGAGCCAGTTGATGCTCGGCGCGCATTCCCGTCCTTCGACGAGCCGAATGTCAAAGCCCAATACACCGTTCACCTCGTTCATCAGCCTGGGTACACAGCATTGTCTAACATGCCGGAAGTGGTAGGTATGCCGGAAGAAACAATGTCATGCGCAAAGGATGAACACATAATATAAAGTTTAGAATAAAATTATAGTTTATTTTCAGTAGTAAAGAGTTTCCAAGAGATAAATGAATATGAAAACTTAATACGGATTAAATATTTCTTTAATTGCTCATTTAGAAATAGAAAAGAAAGACCTCTCTGATGAATCACGGAAGAAAATTAAAACTTTTATATTGGCGTTTTTAGAATGATTAATATATTTTTTTCCCTTCAAAATTTTAATCATATTTTATTTTGACACGATGGTGGAAGACTTGCTTTTTAGGTGTTTGCTCCGTTTTGAATATTAAATCTGTCCAAAACCACTAGACAATCTTATCAAATATTGAATTGTCCTACCCCTCTTTCGTCTTAAAATCTTAGGTAATTATAACTATGATATTAATTTTGTCTCTGCTCTTATTTCTTGTTTGTTTTGATGGCAGGTAACAGTGCCTTGGTCCGAGGATTCTAGCTTGATGATAACGTCATTCCAGAGATCAGTTGATATGAGTACCTATCTTGTCTGCTTCATCGTCTGTGATTTCCGATATCTAGAGTCAAGGACCAAATCAGACATTCCTGTACGTATACTCTTCATAAACAGACATTCCCCACATAATTGGCTTGGTGCCCAATTCGCCAATGAAATAGTTTTGAATATGTCACCAATTGTATATACTCTCGAGCGTTTTCATTGGCTGCGCCAGTCAGAAATCGATTGTGATGTCATAATATGGACAATGACGTTGCGTCGTGAATAAGGAATGGCACAACAAAATGACTGAGTCTCCACATTTTTGCTTTACAACCTATCGAACTGTAATATGTGATATAAATACCTTTAATTTGTTTCATTGCATACATGGGATGAACTTTGACTCGTTTAATGTCCTATATGTACTTGTATCTAACACTTCATCGTATACCCGATATTCTTGATCTGAGGCCTTGTCAACATACCGTAAAGTAACATGAAAACTATACATGTAATCCTAGTCAGATAAAAGTGACTGAGTAAGTAGGTGTACATGTTAACTTACCTGCACCCTTTGTTGAAAAAGTAGTAGAGTTTTCGCATTTCAGTCTTTGCTTTTAAAGCGACGTCAGGTTAAAAAGATTTTTAAAACTGATTAAAATATATATATATATATATATATTTATATATCAAGTGTATCATTTTATGAACAATGACAGTTGGTTTTCGATACCCATAAAGAGGTTATTCAATAATTTCAAAAATCCATATCTGTTGATCATCTGTCTGGATATGTAAATTTTGCGTCAAAGATGATAACGATTGTGCCCAAAACACCTTCACCTGTAAACTAAAATGGCTCATCTCCTAAATCGGTTGGCGATTAATGTTATTTATTTCGCAATTCCAAATTGACTTAGAGTTATCAAATTACATTCGCCACACCCATACAAAATCCGTTGCTGAAAACCGGGATGTTACTGATAACGTCACTTATACTGTCGCTGTCATTTCTCCTCGCCATCACGTGTTCGTGTTTACCAAAACTATCGCGTGACGTTATCAGCGCTAAATTTGATAGGGGGTTGTCATTTTTCATTTAACAATACTCATATGATGACATTGAGCAAAAATGAAAAGTTTGAGATTTGGTTTATACATATTGTCACATAGAAAAAATAAATACAGATTTTAACGAGAGTAAGCATCCACGAAGTAATGTTAAATAATTCACCTCGAAAACATGGTTTTTCTGTGGCACTTAATTCTGTTGATATGGACTACTCACTTACTTCTCTAGTACTGTAAAAATAATGTCAGTGTTTTTTTTATTCTGAATCCTTTTTTGACATCTGAATTCATGGATGAAGAGTACAAACGAAAATAAAAAACCGACCAAAAATTACTGATAACAGAGTATCTCGTTAAAGATCCATCAGCTTTCTGTAGGTTCTACGTCAATCATTATTCAGGTGAGGACGTTCGCTACCCCAGACAGAGTTAACCAGACCAAGTTCTCTCTTGACCTCGCTGTTCATTCGATGGACTTATATGAAGAGCTTTTCAATGTGTCTTATCCTCTACCAAAACAAGGTCAGTTTGGTATTTTAAAAAACTAGCATATATACTGTTATTTAAATCAGAATGTCAACTTTTACGCCGTGAAATTAAGTAAGATATTTTAAAGCTTAAAGTGCAAAATAAAAAGATAAAATACAACCAGATAAAGTGTAATGAAACAAACGTGATGAGCATGTGTTTGTTTATTTGTTTGTTTGTTCTCGCTAAGGGTATTTGAAGCACGTATCTATTGATGATTGGGCCTTTCAATGGCACTTTTATAGTGATACCACACTGAAATGCCATAGCATATACACCCTAGTAAAACACTCCAAGTCATCGCTCCGATACTCGATTGATGCTGACTAACAATATTATTTAAGGCATTTCTTGTAGATTTGATAGCGATCCCTGACTTTGTGTCAGGCGCGATGGAACACTGGGGCCTGATTACATTCCGCGAAACTAATATGCTCTTTGACCCTGAAGAGGCATCGTCAGCCAATCAGCAACGAGTTGCAGTTGTAGTCGCTCACGAGATTGCCCACCAGGTATATTAAGTTATTTACTGTATATCTATAGTTCTGTATTAGCTGTCACGCTGCACGCGCTCAAAGTGATAACCTGGTTTATACGTACTATTCAGCAAGAAGTAGCTAAGTCGAAATGAATATTGATGATCATGTTTCGTTTAAAAAGTCCTAATTCGGGAAATGTTATGGTTATCCAAGGCTATGTTATACATATTATCCAGTAAGATGATATAACAACACTAACAAAAAAAAAAAAATGCACATAGGAATTATAATCTGTCAACAGTTCAATATATTAACGATGCAATCAATTCTTTAATCCTTTCTTCAAAAGCACTAATTATTATAATGTTATATCGACAATAAAGCTATTTATTATAATGTTATATCGACAATAAAGCTATTAATTATAATGTTATATCGACAATAAAGCTATTTATTATAATGTTATATCGACAATAAAGCTATTTATTATAATATTATATCGACAATAAAGCTATTTATTATAATGTTGTATCGACAATAAAGCTATTAATTATAATGTTATATCGACAATAAAGCTATTTATTATAATGTTATATCGACAATAAAGCTATTTATTATAATGTTGTATCGACAATAAAGCTATTTATTATAATGTTGTATCGACAATAAAGCTATTTATTATAATGTTGTATCGACAATAAAGCTATTTATTATAATATTATATCGACAATAAAGCTATTTATTATAATGTTATATCGACAATAAAGCTATTTATTATAATGTTATATCGACAATAAAGCTATATATTATAATGTTAAAGCGGCAATAGATATACTTATATTATAGGAAGTTTATTAACATCACCATCACAAAGACACCATATTTGTATAATTATTGGCCGTAAAATACAGTGACTCATTTTTTTGAATAATTTTTTGAAATCATACATTATTATAACATTAGAAATTTCGTTTCGTTCTTCATGTGATTATCGTTGGAATGCTACTTCCTTAACTCTAAAGTTAAAACAAAAAATATAACAGATGTAAAACTACTTTCAGTTTCCAAGTAAAATACCTTAGCGTTCGTAAAGGGTTTCTTGATATGGTATGTGTAGTAAGCGAAATGTGTTGTTATTTTTCCCAGTGGTTTGGAAACATCGTAACTATGGATTGGTGGGATGATCTCTGGCTCAATGAAGGTTTCGCCAGTTTCATGGAATATCTTGGCGCTGCCTCCTTCAAACCATCCTGGGACATGGTATGGCATTTTAGGAGTTTCTTGGAAGTAGAGGATCTACATATTTGTCCGATATCAGTGTGCATCAATGTGCATCAGTGTGCACATATCAATAACAAACTTATGTATGGAAGACAGACAAAGAGATTGAAGTATCTATCGATAACAAAAATGATTTTACGGTCATTGAAGTTTATATTCATATTTTAAAAAAACATAGATGTTAAAGTTTGTTTTTATTTTTTTTAAATGTAAGGTTATAGCATTCTTGTAAGTTATCACTGGACGTGGAAAGAGTTGATGTATGATAACTTGTCAACATGATGTTCAATGACGTCATGGTATTATTATGTGACGTAGGATGGATCCACAATTATGTATTCGTATGGAAAAGACAATGGAGTGCCCTGTAGTTTCATAATACAGAATATTAATTAACAAGTGCCCTTTATTGTTGTATCTATTCTTTATCTTCCTGTGTAGATGGAACAGTTTGTGACAGAAGATGCACAGCCAGTAATGCTCACAGACTCCGGAATGTCTTCTCATCCAATTATCGTGGAAGTTACAAGTCCCAACCAAATTAACGAAGTATTTGATAGTATTTCTTATAGCAAGGTATGGAAATTAAAAAAAAAAAAGATATATAAACCATCGACATTGATTTCACATTACAATGTATCATTTAAATGTTGTGATATTATGTAATATTTTCATCATTATTCTGTAGTCGCCCAACTTCCCCTATAGGCTTCAGAATACATAGGATTTCAGCCTGTTTTATGTTTTAAATGTTTACATCCACAGCTTTATTGTCATACCCTCTCTTCGCCTCCGTTAATAGAATGAAATTAGCGTGTAAGTGTTAAATATCCGCGTGCACACTACTCATATGTTCGTATCAGACAAAATTTTAATAATAATCTCCGAATTTTTCTACTAATAATCATATGTTTGAAATTGGTTGTATTTAGATAAATAAAAAAAACCTTCCGCTAACGGAAAATGATATACCGTATGGTGCTTCGAGCTGCCGATAGTAGAATCAACGGAAATTTTATCAGAGCTTCATTGCGAGAGAGATGCATATGAGTTCTGAAGCTAAAACCAAACAGACTGATACATTATATCATTATAAGTTTTTTTCATTGATAAAAGCTCTAAGGCATTGAAAAGTGCAAAGTGTAACTAATACTAGTGTTGTCCGATTTAGGAGAGACTGATCTACACTTAAAACATAAATCTCTCTCTCTCTCTCTCTGTCTTTCTCTCTCTGTCTCTCTCTGTCTCTCTCTCTCTCTCTCTCTCTCTCTCTCTCTCTCTCTCTCTCTCTCTCTCTGTCTCTCTCTCTCTCTCTCTCTCTCTCTCTCTCTGTCTATCTCTCTCTCTCTCTCTCTCTGTATCTCTCTCTCTCTCTCTCTGTCTCTCTCTCTCCGTATCTCTCGCTCTGTCTCTGTCTCTATCTCTCTCTCTGTCTTTCTCTCTCTCTTTCTCTCTCTCTCTCTCTGTATCTCTGTCTCTCTCTGTCTCTCTGTCTCTCTCTCTGTATCTCTCTCTCTCTGTCTCTCTCTGTCTCTCTCTCTCTCCATGTAATTTTGTATTTAAATATGTCGTTTTGTCTTGTCATTATGTATTTTGTTAAACTTTATCGGAAAAGGACTTAATATACCTGGGAAAACTCGTGCCCAATCCCATTGAAATTGTTCAATAAAATATATTTGAAAAAAAAATCTATAACGAATGTATCTGAATCAGAAGCTCCAGTGGTATTTTTCTCGTTTTGTATTTTCAGGGGGCGAGTGTCATTCGCATGCTGGAATCAGTCATGGGGAAAGACAAATTCTTTGAGGGTGTTGGAGTAAGTATACAGTTAAACAAAGCTGTCGTTTATGGTAGATGATATAGAGAATGTCAGTGTCTTTAAATATAAGCCGTATTTAGGCAAGGTTGAAGAAAGACAAAAGTGGCGAGCCGTTCCTAGTCAAAGTAAAACATATTCTAAGACACTAACCACGCATTCTACTTATCCTGCACCACTTACTGAAAATTCAGACTATCGAAACAATCTTTGTTTATCTGACGTTGACATTACCCGGAATTTTCGTCTGATGCCGCGCGTTAAAAGAATTGCTTAGCGCGGAAATATAGTTCTACATTTCAATAGATACAAAGCGCAGCTTTATGATTTTTTGTAAATAAACTTGTTTGATTTACCAAAAATAATCGTTTATTTAAACAGTCATCTATCTTTCTAAATGAAATATTTTAGTAAATCAAAAAGTAATTTTATTGAATTCATGCACTTGCTAAAATACAGCTCTTTTCTCTCACTGCCAACATATATGTGGCAAGTGTATTCCGACAATGCTAGCACCAGTTGCACGATAAATGCCGAGCTATCTTCCTACAATGGCGGTCATGTCCTCCCAGAAAAAATCACCATTTAATGGAAGGAAGCTAGAAGACTATTTGGGTGATAAAGAAAGAAAGCGACTTTATTGTACTTTGTTTATTGAGAATGTATAAAATTTCAACCGGTTGACCAGTTAGAATTAAGTTGTTATTGTTTTCTCTATGTTATGCGTCGCCAATAGATGACGTGCTGGTCTGAGATATGCACGTGCAAATTCATACCGCGTGTTACCTGTATACGTATCATTCAGGCGACACGGGTAGCAGCAGACAGACGTATTCCCTTCCCTCCTAAATTGTGTGGATTCATCATTGATATCATTTTAAATTAGTTATACGGGAAATAATTTGTAAATAATATTCACTTTTGATCAGTTAATCTATGTTTTTTTTCTTTGTTGTTCATGAATTGTGTTCTTATTTAAAGATAATTAGTTTAATTTAATCAGTCACAGTGTCTCTGTTGTAGTGAAAGATATTTTTTGTGTTTGTTTTTTTAAGACAATATGAGTATTCTACATTACCATATGTTATAGAATAGTTAGACTAGATTGTTTATCCTGGAACCGATTTCAATGTTTATCCCACAAGTGTTGAGCAGTTCATTGTGTTTTACAGAAATACCTGAAGAAGTTCGTGTGGGGTAATGCCAAAACTGATGATCTCTGGGCTGCGTTGGGTATGGTAGGTAGTCTTATATTAACGGGTATTACGTCAAATGTCATTTATGACGACACAATTCATCATAACAGTGTCATCTGTGACGACACGATTCATCATAACAGTGTCATTTGTGACGACACAATTCATCATAACAGTGTCATCTGTGACGACACAATTCATCATAACAGTGTCATCTGTGACGACACGATTCATCATAACAGTGTCATCTGTGATGACACGATTCATCATGACAGTGTCATATGTGACGACACGATTCATCATGACAGTGTCATCTGTGACGACACGATTCATCATGACAGTGTCATATAAGACGACACGATTCATCATGACAGTGTCATCTGTGATGACACGATTCATCATGACAGTGTCATATGTGATGACTAGAGAAAGCTTGACTATTGTCAACTCTGATGATAGGATGTAACATGATAACTGTCGTCTGGGATGACAGGAGACACAACGATTTCATAGTTGTTACTTTGATCATTTTTTCTTCCATATTTCATATCTACTTTATGATATGTCATTTTCGTTTAACAAACAATATTAAGTACTACCCTCTGTTGAAATCCAGATTTCGTTTAGGACACGCTCGGTACTGTAAACGGGTAAATATTCGCCCGGGTTTTCGTTCCTCTCATTTAAAACGATTTATTTACTCAAAGTGTTCATTTCGCTCTAAAATAGATAAAAATTGTTTCAGCTTTCACATTAATTTTCAGTCCGCGTTTTTTCCCATTTATTTTTCGTCCGATTGACAACTGCAACGAAAGTTTCCCTCAAGACGCTGAACAAATTTAATGGACTATGAAAGCATATGTAATGCTTTATTTCTCATCGTCCAATATATAATGTTCAAACAAATACAATGTTTAGACCCTGAACAAGGTACGCAAATATTACATACGAAAACCTTTTGTATGGTGATAATTCTTTAGATATAAAATCAAAAGAAGTTATTTGTAAGCATGTTCAGACCTATATTTTGTTGATAGTGAAAGATTTGCCTAAATGCAGGTCAATATATAGTGTCATCAGCTTAGTTGTCAACTTCTAATAACTTCTTTCTATGCTTCCGCAGGGAGAGCATATAGTCGCCGCTTTGTCTGTCCTACTTGTTCGTTCGTCCGTCCGTCATAATTTTATTTGGAGTATAATAAGATATTATTATATGTATCAACATAAGACTTCACAGGTGGATAGATCTTGATGGGGAGAAGTGCAGTGTACAAGAACCATAACTCTTTTTTGCATTAATATAGGAGTTATTGCCCTTTGTTATTTTCTATACTTAAATTTTGTTTCATGCGGGGAGCATAACCCGTTTCTGACGGCCCTTGTTGATTTCTGTTCCTTCTTATACACAAAAACTTTGTAAAACACACGATGTATTGGTCATTGTAAGGTCATTGCTACGCTTTGTATTTGTATACTTGTATTATGAAGAGGACATTGATAAGTTATAATAACTTGCGTCCGATCCTTTTGTTTATTATTTTACAATAAAATTGGTTTAAAGTCAAATAAACATATGTATTATCATCACTTATTGTTAGATTTCTTGTTGTCAGGCCGACGAAGCAGCCGGGCTATCAGTAAAGGCAGTTATGGACACATGGACACGACAGATGGGTTTACCATATGTCGACGTGACCTTCAGCTTCACCGAGAACAAGGTCACAGCTGTCCAGAAACGTTTCCTTGCCGACAGCTCTATGCAGTATAATGCTACGGAATCTCCTTACATGTAAGTTTTTCTTTACATCGTAGTAAACTTACTTCGTTTTAATTCTTCATTTCACAGAATTCTTATTTATCAAACACGTAATGGTATATTATATATAAGCCCAGATTCAATGAAATAAAGCATCAAATTAAGACAAACAATAAAACGTGTTTACAATACACGTATAGATGACATTTGAGATGATGACATAGAATTTAATATTTTAAGCATGACTATAGGAACTGTAAGCACACATATTTAATAAGAATATCACAGGGATAGAAGATACACGTTGTTAATGAAAAGAAATTATACAAACCAGAGCTTTCAATATATTAAAGGTACGTATTGAACTTGGGTGATGCTGGAATTGAGAGTATGACGCCCCGCACTATACATATGAAAAAACCTGTTTCTGTCTTAATATGGCCGGCAGACAGGGATTTAAGATAACTTCTCAAGTAGATAAATTCATTCGGGAATGGTTTATACCTATGTGTCAGTGGATTAAATGTTCCTGCCACTGACGTACGTAGTAGATGGTAAAGAATTGACAAACGTTTTGGCTGTATCATGCTATGTAAACTAAGGTAGAAAATAGTGTGAAGAGATGGGGAACAGATTATAGAAAAAACTATAACACACACACAAAATGGTTACGATGTACTGTAGTCGAAAATGTCACGAAACAGTAAGTTTGTACATGTATAAGTGTAGCATATGTGTATTATGGGATGTTTGGTTATGTTATACTAGATATTACATTCTATGTCAGATTATCTATGCTGTTTGAGCTTTGGGATCTACCAAGTTTCAATCAAAGTCCATCATAACGTTCCGGACAGAGACAGACAGACAGACAGACAAGTTGATTCCTATATACTAACTTGTTTGTTTGCGTGCGGTATCAGAAGCAAATGAAAAAAAAACCAACTGATATATAGCCGAAGTTTGATCTATAACTGTCAACAAACATTTTCACATTCACAAAAAAAAAAAAAAAAAAACCACACGTAAGAAAACGTTATCACATTCAGAAGAGACGCGTAAGGGACGCACATTTGTCCGGAACATCTGATCGCACGTTCAGTTTTTGTGAAAGTTCATCAGCAAACGAGTAAAGCAGGAAAAAGTGGGTCGATAACTAATCCATGTCACAATATAAACGTGTAAGGGTAGATAACTCCAAAGTAATAAATCAGCAATAATACAGTGTAGACAAAATAACACAAGCAATCAGTAACTAATTGTGTGTGTGTGTTTTTTTAATTTATCAAACACATAAATATGTTAGATACACAATTTATAAGCATTTTTAAGATTCATTCGAAAAGTGACACGGTTCAGAATATATTCAACTGTACGTGTTGTTCTTTTGAAATTACCAGATATGTGAAATAGGCTCTTCGCATCACTGACGAGTCCTAAAAGGACGAAACACTCTTATGGAGCATTTTCGTTCATTGTTTGGTTCTTATTTTTCAATCATAAATTCTTATCAAAATGTGCTATTCACTTGTGTGTCTTTTGTAACAGCTTGATATACTTTTTAATATTTTGAATGAAAATCAAGAAGTTGAGCGAATAAGAATTCACGGAAACAATACAATACCAGTTATACCGGCTCAAAAGATGATTAATATAAAATACACTTTTAAATTGCAGATAAAGATCAAAATGAAAACTCTAGGTAATCAACAAACAAGTTTTCAAATAAAGATTTAAAAGAAAACATATGTTTATATCAATACAACAAGAAAAATACCGACATGTCATCCTTACTGCTGTTTTCGTTCAGGTATAAATGGTACATCCACCTTGACCACGTGTCGAATACCGGAAGCGGAAGTCCTGTGTGGATATCTAAGAACGAAGACTCCGGTAAATTATTATATGGCACTATATCAAGTGTCTTCTTCTTCTTTCTTCTTCTTTCTTCTTCTTCTTCTTCTTCTTCTTCTTCTTCTTCTTCCTCTTCTTCTTCTTCTTCTTCTTCTTCTTCTTCTTCTTCTTCTTCTTCTTCTTCTTCTTCTTCTTCTTCTTCTTCTTCTTCTTTCTTCTTTCTTCTTCTTTCTTTCTTCTTCTTCTTCTTCTTCTTCTTCTTCTTCTTCTTCTTCTTCTTCTTCTTCTTCTTCTTCTTCTTCTTCTTCTTCTTCTTCTTCTTCTTCTTCTTTTTCTTCTTATTCTTCTTCTTATTCTTATTTCTTTCTTTCTTTCTTTCTCTCTTTCTTCTTCTTCTTCTTCTTCTTCTTCTTCTTCTTCTTCTTCTTCTTCTTCTTCTTCTTCTTCTTCTTCTTCTTCTTCTTCTTCTTCTTCTTCTTCTTCTTCTTCTTCTTCTTCTTCTTCTTCTTCTTCTTCTTCTTCTTCTTTCTTCTTCTTCTTCTTCTTCTTCTTCTTCTTCTTCTTCTTCCTTGAATTCTTCCTCTTCTTCTTCTTTCTTCTTCTTCTTCTTCTTCTTCTTCTTCTTCTTCTTCTTCTTCTTCTTCTTCTTCTTCTTCTTCTTCTTCTTCTTCTTCAATGTCTTCTTCTTCTTCTTCTTCTTCTTCTTCTTCTTTCTTCTTCTTCTTCTTCTTCTTCTTCTTCTTCTTCTTCTTCTTCTTCTTCTTCTTCTTCTTCTTATATACTTCTTCTTCTTCTTCTTCTTCTTCTTCTTCTTCTTCTTCTTCTTCTTCTTCTTCTTCTTCTTCTTCAACCCTGTTTGAATTATGGGGTCAACAGAGCAATATCAGACAACAAAAAATAATATATATTTATATATCTATATGTTCCACCCTCCAGTACAATGTGATCGACTTATAGACCTTTTCGCTCGTGTAATAATTTGCTTACGAAATCCACTTCAGTGCCATAACCCGTGTTAAATATGTATGTTTGTCATTTCGTTGACATATGAATTCGCGCATTTATAGTATCCACAAATTCCACGAAAATGACGCTCCCACGAATATTACTTATTTTACTGCAAGATAAATGATCACAGGTCAGTTTTTTTTTTATAAAAAAGAAAAGTCTTTTTATCATGAATATTTGACTCGATTTTATCCATGTTACACATGGTTTTCACAGTTGAGTTTGAAATACATGCCAACCCACAGATGAACCAGTCAGTATGGTTCAAATTCAACGTAAACCAGACAGGGTTCTACCGCGTGAATTACCCAACAAACCTGTGGATGAGGTTTGCTACTATGTTGCAGAACGGAGATATCCAGGTGAGAGTTCATTAAAAAAAACAAAAATCCAAATTAATATCGATCAGACATAAATTCGAACCTTGTCGACATTAATTGCTTTCAAAACCTTTTTGTCCCTTAAGAAATGAATTGCTTCTATCTGTAGCTATGTTGTTGGTTGCAAACTTCTGATCTTCATTAGTAACCTATTATTGGAATGGAAAATCTGTGGTTTAGTCTAATGTGTTAATTTACATAATCTAGACATGGAGTCAGTATTCACATTGGAAGTTGACTGTTGTTTGTTGTTATTATTATTGTTGTCGTTGGTATTGTTTTATGTTGTGTACCAAAAATTCCGTCTCTTTTTATGAAAGTGCATATATGACCCTTAAGTGAACTAACGTTGTCGGGTTTCAGGAACTTTCTAACGTTGACAAAGCTGGATTGATAAACGATGCTCTCAATTTTGCACGTGCCGGTCAAGTTTCGTATGACGTTGCACTTAGCATGACGTTGTACCTGGACAAGGAGTTCAACCATCTCCCATGGGAAAGCGCTTACACCGCCTTCGCCTACATCTCCTCCATGTTCCAATATGGCGGATCATTCGGGCCCTGGAGGGTTAGTGTGCATAGAGGAAGAAAGCCCAGTTAATATTTAGAAAAAAACAATGTCTATATAAAGCATTGGATAAGTAATCGGCTATAATGATATATGCATATAATTTAATCATAAGAAACATGATATCACTCCATAACGTAAAACATTGACGTCATTTTGTACCGTCTCGTTTGACTGGCCTATATTTTATTCTAACTGTTAAAAGAATTTCAATTTGTAATTTAATTAAACGGGAATTATTTCATCGTTTTTATTTTAATGCGCAATAACACACACACACACACACACACACACACACACACAAAAGGTATGCACTTCTAGTGAGAAACCACTTTTCGATTATTATTTTTTATTTACCATTCTGACTCAATATTATACAATATTATATGAAATAACGATTAAAGTGAATTCTTAAACAGAAAAGAAATGTTCTATGCAGTAAACATTATTTTATGATAAGATTTTGGGTATTTTTATTTTATTAGATAGTCCACCATTAATGTAAGTAATCAAACTTATCAGACCAATACATGTCTTGGCACTGTTCCTATTCAGCAGTGTTTATTTCATTATTCAAGAATTGTCAAATGTGATTATTTTGAACAGGAATATGTCGTGATGAAATCCAAGCCCGCTTTAGAGCAGCTAGGCTGGGCTGATACTGGCACACACCTTCAAAAGTGAGTCTTACAACAGTCTACTTTGATCAGGGGAGATAACTGCGACCATTTTAACTGAAAGTCAAATACGATATCATGTTCATGAGCAACGGTTTAAAAATTCATTGTCAATATAATTCGATATTCAAGAAATATCTTGAAGAACTTAAAAGTTAATATTACGATAAACAGTAAACGTTGATACTTGATAATTTCATTTTCGCGGAAAAATATTTTCGATTTATTTTCAAATGTCATGTATAAACATTGCATCAAATAATTGAGTTTGTCATCAAACAATATTTAACTTAATACTTCGTTACCAAAAGTGGCATGTTTTGTATTGGTAACTACGAATTCATGCAATATGGAGTGTATATGAAATTCGTATGACTGTCTGTCGTTTGCCTAATTGTTTGCCTGTAAGGACACGAGTCCACCATAATTATATTTTATGAAGAATGTTTACCGTCTACTTTTACAGATTGATGCGAATGAACCTGATCGCCTTGACATGTGGTCACTCTGATTCGGACTGCTTAGATAATGCCACTGTCCTGTTTAGAGCTTGGCTGGACAATGGTCAAGTGTAAGAGAAATTCTCACTCGTAATGAACCCATTTCTATCATATCTTAAATACTTGCATATTGTACCATGAATATACTTTAACCGTTTATGATAAAAGATGAGCAGTTATTAGTTCCAATATGGTATTAATACACCTAGCCTTGCTATAGCATCACTATCTAAATCACCAATGTGTTCATTGTTTTTAGTATCCCGCCAAATCTTCGTCAACTGGTGTACAGATATGGTATGGAGAATGCAGGTACTGATGAAGACTGGAATGCCATGTGGGATAAATACACTACTGAGACTGTTCCCCAAGAAAAAACCAAACTGTTGTATGGTCTGTCTCGGACAAAGAAAGTTTGGCTACTATCGAGGTAAAAAGTGATGACTGACTCCCCAAATTTCCGTGTGGGCAGGTTAATTATTGTGCTATTAACATTCTCTGAAATGTATTTACTTACAACTTTAACCAAGTTAAATATCGTTTGCCTATACTTTATTTTTTCTTTCGTCTTCCCTGCTCTTTGATATTACTTTCAAATACTTACAACAGAAGACTCTTACAGATACACGTTGAAGAAGGTTATCGGAAATTCATGTTCGTGATCAATGGTGTTCTGTTTCTCTGTGCCAAAAAGAGGCTGTGATCTGTGCATGCTTATCACTGGTGGCGATTTGCTGTTTATTCACGTGGAAAATATATATTTTAGTGAACATTACACTTCCGCGTTACATGTTGACAATGGTCTTTATATAAGCACAGAAACATTAACCGGTTTTTACTCCACGAACACATCACCTTGATACCATTGTTTAACTCTGTACATTACGTTAATTAAAACCTTAACTACACAAAATGACAATGTAACATGAAAAATATTTACAGAATTATACAATTCATTTTTCTATATATTGCTTGTATATGCTTCAGTATGTTTTCTTGTTTACACAGGTACCTGGGAATGACGAAGAATGAATCTTTGGTACGGACTCAAGATTTCTTTACCGTCCTTGTATATATTTCCGGAAATCCAGTCGGCCGAAGTTTAGTGTGGAACTGGGTCCGTGAGAACTGGCATTACCTCGTTGACAGGTGCGAATACCTTTATCAAAGCATGATCTGTTAATCAAGCCATTGAAATTTCATTTCTTAATTCTATACACCAAATCAAATGTTGCAAAGTCGAAGTAATATAAATTCACAGTCTAGTAATTTTCAATTGAAAAAAAAATATATATTCACGTATTTCAAGTAAAAATGAAACTATCTCTTAATATTGCATGTAGGCTTTTAGATTTTATTTTTAGATTGCCATACTTATTCCTTCTTAATTAACAATACCTTGTTTATTAGAAGTGAAATAACGAGTCAATATGAATATTCCGTAAACGATAACGAAGGGAAACATTCGTTTCTTCATTTTTTGAATAAGTTGGTTTTTAAGTTGAATATGTTTTTTAATGTTAAAACACCAATTTCACTATGTCCTCAAAGGATATTCAATTTTCATAACGAACAATAAAAACAAAGATAACAGTACCGTGAAGAAGAACGACTGAAAATGAAACACAGACTTTTGACTTTATATTAGGGTTTAAAAACTACCTGTACATGATATTTACATTGTGTTCTATTTGAAGGTTCACGTTGTACTCACGATCACTAGGAAGACTGATACCACGTGTTATACGAACCTTCAATACGGAATTCCAACTCGAAGAGGTCAGTATATGTTTTCCTTATTTATTTATTTATTTATTTATTTATTTAAAACAAACTTCAAGTTTATACTTGTGACCTCTATTATCTCAGTACTGAGGTGCGCGAAGAATCGCCTTGTGGGATGAGACGAGAAAAAAATAAACTTTGGCAACAGGTGACTCCATACCTTTTCAGTTTCGATCCGGTAATCAAATCTCTGTGGTATTTGTGAAAGGAAAAATATGAATTATTAATCTACTTTTTGGATATAATTGTATTTTGTTGTTGACGTGTATTTAGTTAGTAGGGGCTTCAAAATATGTACTTATATTCATTTTAGATTGACTATTACAAAATATGAGTACTTTGTTCTCACGTGTTTCATATACAGTAATTACACTTAGATCGCAGGATTTCGTAAACCTCGAAAACAGTACTTTCTGATTTTTTGTCGTATTTTTTCTGAAATTAGTGCAATTATCATCAAACTTCGATATGTCGAAAAATAAAAAAAAATCATCACCTTCTTGAGTTTTTTAATACTGACCTATAGATATCACAATGCTGTAATGGAACTAAATTTATTTTTGTCTGATCTAATTTCAATCCGTTTACTTGTATTTGCATATCAAAATGGAAAACATACAGGTGTTTGATCTAGATGTATACGTTAAAGCTGTTTTCATTTCCATGTTGATATATTTGCTAAAATAACATTCTCTCGTTTTCTCGATTACACGATTATACCAGTTATTTGCAGTTCTGATTAGCTAGTATTTATTTCAGGTGCTCGACTTCATAAAGAAACACCCGGATGCTGGAGCTGGTGCAAGAACACGTGACCAGGCTTTGGAAACAATCCGCCGAAATATAGCGTGGATGGAACGCTACAAACCAGTCATTACAGAATGGTTGTGTCATCAGGTGAAATGTTGAGAAATAAAACAGAAAGAATATTTGGAATGTAAAATTTTAAGTCTAAAATTGTTAAACACTTTATTTATTTCTCGGTATATGTGACTTGCATTCTTATTTGTCCCAAGACGTGTTGATATCAGAAGGACATAGATACATGTATAAACTTAAAGTATGAAGTGTTTCGACTTACATCAACGAAAAACGAATTACTAAAATGTTTGTTGTAATAAATAGGGTGTTGTTCTGTTGTAAATTCACCTTAAATGTGTTTGAATGTAATGGATATAAAAAAAGATGACACAAAATCGACAGTTTTTTTTAAATGTAAATATATGTAAATATTGAGCCCAGGAATAAAAATGAGGGTAAATGAAATATGTTTTTGTTTGTCGAGGATCGTCAAACGTTGATTGTAGTAGTGAAAGCAAATTCTGATCTGCATGAGTAAAGATAGAACATTTAATTGTAAATGAAACGTTTCTTCTACCGAATTTCCTTGGTATAAAATGTACACATTGTTCATAATATGTGTTTGAGAATTAAAAAGACATATTGAGTGATGTATGTGTCTTATCTTTTTTCAATTAATAAAAAGAATTTTAAAAAATGACAATCTTTTGGTCCGGTTGAACGTGGAGAAAAGTTCGATTTTTTTATGGACTTGATCTATAAGTTATATTTTATTTATTCGACTTTAGATATTACGACATGTTGTTGTCCTCAGTTCAAATGACGATCTCTTTTATGTTAATATAATCAACTTACCAAATTGTGCATGTGATTATTCTATTGAAAATGATTATCATTGATTGTTCATATGCCATAGATTTAATGGTCAAAGATTATAGATTACGAAACCTTCCTTTATTTTTGCCTTAACTTTAGAGAAATTATTATTTGGTCATGTGTCTCCTCTCCACCAGTCCTCTCTAAGTTAATATATTTATACACATGAATTTAACTCTCTGGTCTGTCTTGTGTCTCCTCTCTCACTCTCTCTGTGCTTTTTTTTTCTCTCTCTCTGTGTTTACCCCCCCCCTCTGTCTGTCTCCGTCTGTCTCACTCTCTCTGTTTTTTTCTCTCTCTCTCTCTCTGTGTTTCCCCCCTCTCTGTCTGTCTCCGTCTGTCTCACTCTCTCTGTGTTTTCTCTCTCTGTGTGTCCCCCCTCTCTCTCTAAGACTATGTCATCTTATGCTTCATATATATATATGTAGGATGTGTGTGTATATATTCATAGGAAAGGGCATTAATAATGTTCTTGTAACTTTTGCCAAATCCATTTGCATTTTTTTGCGATGAAATATGTTTAAACAGACCTACTCCAAAAACTTATCCGTAGAAATAGAACACATCCATCACTAGTCGAAACATTCCTAAATTTAGATTGTCATTTGGTGTTTTGTAACAGGTTATTGAATTTGAGATAATTAGCATTTTCATAACACCATATCATGCGTTTAAATTTGTTAGTAAGACATTTATTTAGTTTGATTTCAATAATGGTAGCGTCATCGTCCGAAATACACCTGTCGATTTCAGTAGCACCAGAAAAAAAACATGCACGCATGAATCACTCACAATCACGGGGTCATTGAGAGAAGCACGTGTATCGCCTACTCGGGTAGGTTGGGGTATTACATAAGGTAACAAGTACGTGCAAGTACGTGCTGATGATACCATTAAGTTTATGACGATGTTCGCCCGGGAGATGTACGTTTGTATCACCAACTATAAATACACAAGGATTTTCATCAGGTGCAGTCTATATGGAATTTCAAATTCTTCCCAGAATGGATTTACACAATCGTTAGGTCTATATACTGTATGAAGTAGATATGGCGAGTTACTGAAACTGAAATTTCAATCCAAACTGCCCCAAAAGACGAAATTCTTGGTCAAAACGACGCTGAACAGAAATCAAATTTGAAACATAAACAACACCTCCACAATATGAGTGTTCACGATCTTTCCGAAAAGGATTATAATTAACACTACAAAGTGCTATACTAGTTCTTAGCCAGTGATGCTGTTGTCTAGATGGGATCCTGTGATACATACTTCGTGAAATTCGTCTGAAATGTGTTCAAGGTGAGTCAGCTTATGTTTTAGACATGTTTAAGTGGAAAATGGTTAATTCGACGGAGGACACGTCAGGCCCGTGGTTTACCTGCATGGCCATGCATATCAGTAATCAAAGTTAGAGGAAAAGAATAAAGTTAGTATTTAAAAAAAATAGCTGTGAATACGGTAAAATATATAATGGTCCTAAATGATATACGAAGGATTTCCAACAGACTTTGAAATTCGACATATACAAAATTGAAATTAATCTTGAATACCGATGATGCACTCTAGTGGTTACGGTGAGAACGCGAGTTAAAAATACCGACCGTCACCCTGTGTGCTACACTTTCATTACCCGTAATTAATGACCGTCAGAGTTGAGTAACTGTCGGCAAAAGACATGAGCACGTGCAGATTCAGTGTAACAGTCACAGAAAAGTAAACAAACAGAGGGAAAGAGAAAAAAACGGAGAAAATTTAAAAATAAAAAAAAAAAGGGGGGGGGGAACTGATAATATAGATAACAAGACACTTAGGTGTCATCAGACACAGGAACAAGTTACTACTTTATCACAGACATACAGACATGAAGTTTAACATCATTATCATGTAATGAGAACCGACAGCTTGATGTGATATTAACATTCGTACAAATAACAATATCAAGGAAGATATGATTAATGGTAAATCTATAAACACAGGACAGCAAGAGTTTACATGTTGACATGTCGATAACTTATGTAAAACATACAGAAAATTGATCACTTTTAGGAGATCAAACAACGATACTTATTTGGGTATAACACAATACATGTTACTTGTTGTAGATATCAAAAAATCATACTTGTTTTGAAAACCACACAATAATACATTTTTTGGAATACAAAACAGTAATATTTGTTTGGGCATCAATCTATAAATCATACTTGTGTTAGATTATGTATACAACAATCAGATTTACTAATTAGATAACAACAAATAAACTATTTTTGCATACAAAATAAAATGGTAACATTTGATTGGATGTCAAATAATAATAGCAATTATGATATTTGATATCTATGTTTGATTGGCTGTTAATGATGTTGTGTTACGATACTAACAATGACTGATATTTGTTTGGTCACCAACCTATAGATCGTAATTACTGTTTAGGTGATAAGAGATTTGGTGGTACCAGACAACATACAAGACTTATGTCGGACATCAAGCAGTATCTCATGTTTCTTTAGAAGACTGAATCATAAATGATACTTGATAATGCTATTACCGGGTATGATATCAAACAGATATATATATATATATATATATATATATATATATATATATATATATATATATATATAATACTTGTCAGGAAAATCTGGGGTCACATTGTACTTGTTTCAGATAACAAACGATGTAATTTTCTTGTCGGGTTTGAATGAACTGATGCAATAGCGAACAATTTGTCAAAGTGACACAAATCACCATACCATATGGTAATCGTGTTGGTTTAGAATTAGCCAATAATTATGTGGTAGTAAGATTTCACAAGGTACGTGTTACTGATGTTTTATGATGAATGCGTGTAATAAATACTACTACATGTAATTAGCATTTTTCAGAATATGCAATCATTTAAGATTGTTTGGACATGAAAATATGTTTTCACAATAATTAATAACTTGTTTTGAACATCAAATTAAGTGATATTAGTGTAAAGATATTTTATGTTTTTTTTTATAACAAACAATAAATGATGATTACCTTAAACCAAATGGTTTAGACACCAGATGATTACTTGATAATCGCTTGTTTTGAGATTTTCTCATTCTATATATATTGTTGGACTATCTGTTTAATATTCAAAGTACGATTAACATGTAGTAATTAGACATACGTCTAATAGAATGCGCGTGAGTTTAAGAACCAATAATCAAACAAATTACACGAAGAAAAAACGTTGGCTTCTATCGCTGATGTGAAACGATAAGTACAGGATCAAAGTACTGGTAGTACTGAGAAACAGTTCAGGCATAATTGAGTGTAGATGTTAAATGTCTTTCCGCTGAATCCCGTGACTGTTTGATGAAAATTCCCCCACGGCTGGTCCAGTAGGATTCGATGGACCTAGCCCATTTGGCACGTCCCAGTTCCCTAACAATCTCTTGTCTGGATTTAGTCAAATCTTCGATGACAAAGAGTTATGATGAGAAGTTCTTCAAACTTTTTTTTGTTTCTGAACACAGACGTCTTGATGTTCCAGTTGCTGAAACGACATATAGTTTGAATTTTTCCTGTAAAGCTTGCCGATAATATGAGATCTCGGGATATCTCCGGACGGAGATTAATACTGAGTTTAGTCTTCCAGAAGTCGATAATGGTATGCTCAATGGAGGACTGTTGGTCTCTAGTTAATGGTTATAATGAAAACGGAGGCTGTTCCTCCTGGCGTGCTCGATTTCAGAAGCTAGAAAGTCAACTTGGTTCCCAGGAAAAGAACATTTTGATGTCAGGGAATAAAGTACCTTCACAAATCTCAGTGTCCTGGTCTTGCACCGTCTGCCGAGGCGTGAAAGATGCACGCCATTGTGTTACGAACAATGGATTGGGATGTCTCGCGGAGGTGAGGTTACATGTCTCCTGAAGAGAGGGCGATATGGAGCCAGGAGATTTCTTGTTAATAGGACACGCCGGTGTACTTGGGACCGACATTGTGTAAACAATACACAATATACATATTCTCAAATATTATTACCGGGGTCTATTTAAGTATGACACACAAGGATTTCTAAATGCACATAACCAAGATGGCAAATGGTTTTCAAACATAGGACTGAAGCCGATCAGTTACAACAGGCTTGAAGTCTCTTTTTTAGGTATACACTTAGCAATTTTTTATAATGACTGATAGGTAACATACACAGTTTCTTGGTGTGGCTATGGGGTATAATTTTGTTCATTAGAGTACACTATTATAAAGGTTTTTATCAGCATTTAAAAATAAATCCTCGGTAAAATTGGTCTGGTCATGTTGTAGTGGACAACGTGGGGTTTCATATTTTTCAGCATAATATTTTGCATTGTGTTGGCGATTACTATTTGGGCAGTCTCGAAAGCTAGTTTTTGGTGTGAAGACGTAGATTTGAGCAGTCTTGAATCTGCGTCTTCACACCAAAAATTAGCTTTACAGGAAGTGGAATTTCCTTAGTGTCTACATATGGTCATGTTGTGAAGGCCAACGAAGTTGGAATTTGCTGGAACATAAGTCATTTGTTATCATGACAATGTTGTTAATTTTATGAAAGGTGTTGGGAAATAAATTCCTCCTATAAAGTTGTAGTGTCAGGTTGGAACTAAAAGTATTTTTGCAATTTTAGCGTTAATAGAGTTGGTGACCATGGCAATCACGTCAACAATCAGGGGTATTTTTTGGTTTACACAATTTTTAGTTCTCTACTGTAAATGCAATTGTTGTAAAGTTCATAAAAGATATACATGTAAGGGTGTATTT